TTCTGGGTGTAAATTTTATTTACCTTAGTCTTTACTATTTCTTTATATGGTTTTCATCAAGTTAAAAAAAAATTACAAGAAACAAGAAAAAGCAAGAAAATAAGACCCATCATCGAGAGGCAGTAGTCAATAGAATGAGACATAAAGATGGTTCAGATATTGGAACTGCAAAATAAGTATGATAACTATTAAATAATTTAGCGGAAAAGGTGGACCACATAGAGAATTTTAACAGAGATGGAAACTGTAAAAGGAGTCAAATGGAAATGCCAGAAATGAAAAATATGGTATCTGAGATAAAAGATCTTTCAGTGGGTTTACCAGGATACTGAGGCACCAAAGGAAAGAGCCAGTGAACTTGAAAATAGTCAGTAGAAATTATCCAGACTGAAAAATGAAAAGAAAAAAGAATAGGAAAAAGTGGAATGTAACAACCAAGATTTACGGGATAATACCAAGCAATCTATTGTATGCGTCATTGAAATCTAAGAAGAAAAAGAGAGAACGGGCAGAAGAAATACTGGAAAATTATTTCCAGTAATTTTCCAAAATTAATGAAAGAGACCAACTCACAATCTAAGATGTTTAGAGAACCCTAAACAGGATAAATACAAACACATCCAGGCATATCCTAATCAGACTTTTGAAAAACAAAGATAAAGAAAAAATCTTGAAAGCAGCCAGAGGAACAAGCCTCATTACATAAAGGGAGCAATAATAAGAATGACTAACTTCTCATCAGAAGAAATGGAGGCAAAACGATGGTGGGAAAACATATTTAAAGTGTTAAAAGAAAAACTGTCAGCCTAGAATTCTGGAGTGTTGCGGGTTAAATCGTTTGTCCCAAAAAGATATGTTCAAGTCCTAACGCCTGGCACCTGTGAATGTGTCCTTATTTTGGAAATAGGGTCATTGCAGATATAATTAGTTAAGACGAGGTCATAAGAGTGTACCCTAATCTCTTTATGTCTGAGGTTCTTATAAGAAGACCCTATTAAAGAGACACAGAAGAAAAATGGCCCTGTGAAGACAGAGGCAGAGATTGGAATTATGCTGCCACAAAACAAGGGACGCCTGGGGCCAACAGAAGAGAGAAGAGGCGAGGAAAGATCCTCTAGAGCCTTCAGAGAGAGCATAGCCCTGCTGACACCTTGCTTTTGTACGTCGATCCTCCAGAGCTGGGAGAGAATAAATTTCTGTTGTCTTAAGCCACCCAGTTTGTGATATTTTGCTACAGAAGTTCTAAGAAACTAATACATCCAGTGAAAATATCTTTCAAAAATGAAGGCAGCCCTGAGGGACCGAATTTACTGGGCTGAGGGCTGTGGGGACCATGGTCTCGGGGAACATCTAGCTCAGTTGGTGTTACATAGTTTATGAAGAAAATGTTCTACATTCTACTTTGGTAAGTAGCATCTGGGGTCTTAAAAGCCTGTGAGCAGCCATCTAAGATACTCCACTGGTCTCAGGAGCAAGGGATAATGAAGAAAACTAAAGACACAAGGGAAAGATTAGTCCAGAGGACTCATGGATCACAACTGCCATGGTCTCCACCAGACTGAGTCCAGTACAACTAGATGGTGCCCGGCTACCTCCACTGACTGCTCTGACAGGGATCACAATAGAGGGTCCCGGACAGAGCTGGAGAAAAATGTAGAACAAAATCCTAACTCACAAGAAAAGACTAGACTTACTGGCCTGACAGAGACTGAAGAAACCCTGAGAGTATGGCCCCCAGACACCATTTTAGCTCAGTAATGAAGTCACTCCTGATGTTCACCCTTTAGCCAAAGATTAGACAGGCCCATAAAACAAAACAAGACCAAAGGGGCACACCAGCCCAGGGGCAAGGACTAGAAGGCAGGAGGGGACAGGAAAGCTGGTAATAGGGAACCCAAGGTCAAGAAGGGAGAGTGTTGTCATGTTGTGGGGTTGTTAACCAATGTCATAAAACAATATATATACTGACTGTTTAATGAGAAGCTAGTTCTGTAAACCTTCCTCTAAAGTACAATTAAAAAAAAGACAAAGACATTTTTAGACAAACAAAAGCTGAAAGAATTTGTCTCTAACAGACCCGCACTAAAAGAAATACTAAAAGAAATTCTTCAGGCTGAGAAAAATGATACCGGATAGAAAGCAATTCTGCAGGAAGCAGAGAACGCTGGAAAGAATAAATATGTCGGTACATGTAAAGAGCATAGAGAATTTTATCTGTATAGGTGGTACAGGACCACACGGCTTCCTTCTGCCACAAGTCATAAGGTGGGCAACTCAGTGGCAGCCAACAACAACTCTGTGTGTGTGCGCGCGCGTGCACGCGTGCGTGAGTGCATTTATATTATTATGTATTATGTGTTTATAAAAACCTGTGCTCGTTGCTATCAAGTTGATTCCGACTCATAGCAATCCTATAGAACAGAGTAGACGTGTCCCATAGTGTTTTCTAGGCTGTAATCTTTACAAGAGCAGATCCTCAGGCCTTTTCTCTTGCGGAGTAGCTGGTGGGTTCCAACTGCCAACCTTTAGGTTAGCAGCCGAGTGCTTAACCACTGTGCCACCAAGGCTCCTACTGGGAATATAGCCAGGAACAAAACAGACAACACCCCTGCCCTGGGGAAGCTTTTATATCCCAATGGGGAGAAACAAAATAAAATGATACAGCTAAGAAGCTCCATAGAGAAAAAATGAAGCAGAAAAGGAGGGTAGGGAGTGTCAGAAGCAGGGTATGATGGGACAGCATGGAGTAGGAGGTCAGAGAAGGCCCACCAAGAAGATAGCTTTGAGCACAGGCTTAAGGCAGATGCCTGGTGGCTCTCTGAGTGTCTGATGGTCCGGGGAAGGGCAAGCTAGAGCAAAGCCCTGATACCGAGTTTGTCTGGCAGGTCCAGGAATAGCAAGGAGCAGAGGGGCTGGAACCCAGTCACTGAGAGAGAGGACAGGGCGGTGAGGTCAGAACCACCAAGGGGCAAGGAACGAGGGGAGATGGCGCAGGGCCTCGTGAGCCATTGTAAGGGCTGCTTTTCCTACCGAGAGGTGCTTTTATAGCACCGTTTGCATTTACCAAAGTTTAGTGTTTATAAAACTAAGCCTCTAGCAGATTCAACTACTTAAAACACATTTGGTAAGAGTATAACCCAGTTTTAAAACATCACTGGCTTCCCCATGTATTGGAAACCAAGAATGTCAATACATAATATATTTTATTACATAGTGGGATTAAGGATAATTTTTACTCAGTGTATATCAAGGTAAAAATGAAGAGGAAAAGAAGGAATATTAGGACTGTATCTGCTCAGGTATCTTGGTCACTTTACCTTTTTACCAATTCTGACACCAGCCATTCCCTCCGGCGGCACTGCCCACTTCTCTTCTGGGTTCAATAATCCATTGCAGTGGCCACACAGAACTCACAGACTACAGTTAATTGATTTCTTAAGGAAAAGGGTACAACTCAGGAATCAGGATCAGGAAGCATGCAGGCCAAGTCTCCCTTCTTCAGTGCAGGGCAGCTCTCTCAGCCTCTCTGGACCGTGCACGTCTCCTCTGTGCCCCCCAAGGACAAGCTGTTCTTAGCTCTGCCACTGGGCCCCCTCTGGGCCTGTTGCCACCAGCTCTGCTGCTGGGCCCCTTCGGGGCCTCTCACTGTCTTCAGTATTAGAGCCCTTAACAGTGTTACAGCTCTGTCATAAGGGTCCCTGCCTCCCCCCTCTCTCTTTTTCTTTCTGCTTTCTTCCTGCTGCTTTGTCCTGCTGCTTCTTTATGTCTGCAAAATGCGGGGTTGACTGCTTATACCTACAAACTTCTTGTCACTTTCAAAGCATGGCTCACCCACCAAGTCCACAAACTGACCAATCCCCTCTCAGTAGTCCACAGACACTTCATTTGCATAGTAGGTGCAGCTGGGCTACAGTTCACCTCATTTGCATAGTCCATTGACTGATCCCTGCAAGCTGCATAGCAGTCACAGGGCAGACTGCAGTCCAGGGCCAGGCAGAAAGTATCAAACCAAGTTGTTTACAATTTACCCAGGAAATGTCAATCAACCTGGACAAAAGTAACAAACCCTCTGGGGTAGAAAGCTCGGGCAGAGGTAACTCCTTATGGTTAGGGGGAAAATCTCTCAAGCTCTTTTTCCCAAAGAACCACAAGGCTAAAGGCCACATAAAGGGACCCATCTCACCACAGCATCCCTTTCATTGTCTGTAGTGGATGTGACAGCATCTACCCACTGGTGGCTGTCATGTGGGAAGCTAAGTTGAGCAAGGGATGTGTGTGCCTGACAGGAAGTAGCAGCCATGCAACCAATGGCCGCTCTCTCTCTCTGCACTTGGGGAGGCGGGCCCTCATGGAAGCTTTCCTTGTGGGAAGCTTGCCCTAGGGATGACCTCAGTCCGTCTGTCATGCTAGCCTTTGAACCCTTTGGGGCTTTGGTTTCCCTGGTACAGTCACAGGGATGGCCTCAGCCTCCCAGGGCAGGGGGCGGGGGCGTGGGCAGGTGCCCAGGGTGGCTGAGGCCAGTGGCTAAGCCCCAATATTCATTTTCTTCTTTCCTCCTGTTCGGCCACCCCTTGTCTTTCTCAGCATACAGTCATCTCTTCTCTAAAAGCCCTGCCCCAAAAGATTTTTTATCAGGAATTTGCTAGTTTTAAAGAGTCTGTCAGAAGAGCTCAAGGAAGAGAAGGAAACCTTTTTTCATGTTTGTACAGAGCCCATCTCGATGAACCAAACATCTCCCTTCCCCCAAGCCGAGTTTGCGCTCCAAGGAAGCGCAGCGTTGGTGGCAAAGTTAGGATTGGAATCTCTTGCACCTAGTTTTGGACGTTTTTATTTGTGCATGTTCTTTTTTGCCGTTAAATTGGTTTTGTTTTCCTTATGAATGCCTAAAATTTTTGTACCATTAGGTGACGGATTATGCAGCTAATGACGGGGGGGTCTTCTGTGAGTGGAATGACACCCCAAGGCTGCCCTTAAACACTGTTTCTGTTTCATTTTCGCAGCAAACCCAAGGAGCCTGTGTTCAGCTCAGGTAGGTCTGGTTGAACTTCTCTATGGGTATCCCCCACTCACGTCTTCCGAGCTGGGGGGCATCTCAGAAGTGGCTATTCCAGGGGCCGGACTTGGACGCACAGATGCTTTGGGGAGTGTGTGGCAGGGTTGAGGTGAACCTAGTGCTGATGTCAGCTTGGCACCTGGGGGTCGGCGGCTCAGGTAATAACAGCGAGACCCGCATAAAAAGTTCATAAAGATGAAACTCTTTACTGACCCCCTTCAGACCTGGTTTAAGATCTGTCACTGAGGGGGCTGAGTGAGATGCTACCGCATGTGCTGTAACAGAATTTCTAGGTTATAAGATGGCAGCAGCCTGTCATTCTTCCTTGCTAACTGGGCTCTGATCACCAACATTTGCTATTCCCTAAAAGGGAAAGTTTTTAATGCAGCAAGTTACAACGTTGTATAAAAACAGCTTTCCTCTTTGTGCCTTGGATTTTCTAAACTGTAAACTAATAATTAATCTGTATCCCTTTCTATACATCTTGTTTTTTTTTTTTTAACACATCTTATAATAAGGTAGATGCTATTTTTAGCACATTAACCTTATTTGAAAAATGCATTTAAAGGGCACACAAATTGGCAAGAATGTAATTGGTTAAAGAAATTCACTTAATTTGATTTTTCCAGTTTTTTCTTAACCTCAGAATTATTAGGACCTAAAAGAACGTTGTGTTTTTCGGCACGTGCTTTTGTAGCCCTGTCATTTTCAGGAAGCACGAAACTGTGCCCTGAAAATGTAACCCCCGCGAACTCGCAGAGCTGAGTTCAGAGTGCACTTGTCGGAGTCCCTGCAACGTGTCCGATTTCACTGCCTGGGGGCAGGGTAGTGTCTGGCTGAGAGCTAGTGGGCGCTCCCCGTCCCTCTGCAGTACTCCACGTCTCTTTATCTAGCCCTTCTGTCTCTGTCTCCGAAATCACAAGGGAAACGCCGGGTGACGCACTGCAAAGGTAGGCAGCATCGCTGACACCTCGTAGCTCTCTGAGCAAAGCTGTTGCCCAGGCTGCAGAAGCGGTTTTCATACAGGCAAACCGATGCTCTCCTTGTATGAAAAGGTTTTTGTGATGCAAACTTCCATTTTAAGTTAAAAGCATTCTTCAGCATTTCCTTGGCTGGACTTTAATAAGTGGCTGGAATTTGGATCTTGATTGGTGATTGGCTGATTACAGGAACTTTAAAAGGTCTCCATAAACTTTGAGAGAGCTATAGGGCAACCCCTGGGTGTGCCACCGGGTGTACCTGTACGCGCACCGCTGCTGGCCCCTCGCGCCGTGTGCTGTTACCTAACGCGCCTGAGAACAAACCACTTCCCCTTGCCACGTTTTGGTTTTAAATTAGAATATCTGAATTACCAGTGCAACACAGGGTCAGGGATAAACTCAGTGCTTTTTACTGATTTATTTTATTTTTTTGCCTCATCGAGTAATTTAGATTTCTGCAGTAACTAAGCCTCAGTTGTAAGGAGTTCTTAACCAGCACATAAGTACAGTATAGCACATGTAGATATTTTGTATATGCTGATGGTGTCCGTCCATCATGGAAATGGCATTATATTCTCTCTACTGCTCTCTGTGAGCTTCCTGAGAGGCCCGATCATTTCTTATAAAGACTTGACGAAGTCACCATCCACTTAACCGTAAACTCACAACGCCTGTCCCTTGCTCACGTCTCAGTCAGCAGGGCGCTTTTAGATTCTTCCGTTGTGGTGACCACGCAGTGTGCTGACATGGGTGAGGGGCTGAGGAAGGGATGACGTTCGGGGCGAGGAGAACAGCAGGTATAGAAGGTGGCCGAGGAAGGAATATCCAGGCGGGGTGGTTGTGGCAGACCGGGCAGAAGGGGAGAGCCTGGCAGGGCAGACAGCAGTCCAAGGATTTTGAGAGGGAAGGATGCAGGGAAGTCCATCTGGGGCCCTGGTGTGTCTGGCAGCATACCTAAGACGGCCTGGGGAAGGGATCAGAGAGCCTGCAGGGATGGGTACCCAGATGGGCTAGTCGTGGGGGGCTGGGGAGGACGCAGCAGCTGCACGAGGGGCCGTGCAGCGGTCTTACTGAAAAGTCAGACTTAATCTGCAGAGTGAAGAGTGTCTCACGTGCATGCATCCAAGCCCCAAGTGCATGCTCACGGTGACACACCCGGGACAGCCTCTGACGTTTTAAGCAATAGTGCATGCGGCCTTGCTTGAAAATCCTGAGGAATAAGACTTACAAAACTAATTTGTAAATGTCCTGCCCACGGTCCTATAATTATTTCGTGACTTTCCCTCACCACCTTCCTCTGTGCAGATGAGTTTTCTGTTGAGTTATGTACAGGTAACCCTGGTCCTGAGTGCCCAATTTGAATGCCGCTAAGGCCGGCTGCTCTGAGTGGCAGTGACACGTCAGAGTTCCTCGAGTTCTGAGTCTGGACAGAATTCTTCAGAAGCTCACAGGGCATTTTGTTTGGTCTTAGTATGTCCTGAAAACTCTAGTCAGAAAACCTCAAGTTTTTGCCTTTTTTACGTTCCAGGAGTTTCCCCGTATCAATATATTATTACTTTCTTCCCTGTGGTTGTTTGTTAAAGCATCAAGAGCTGTTTGTGATAAAAATGTCTGTTCTAGGAAGTCTTACTTTCTGTTTTTCTGTCTCTCCTGAGTCTTTTGTTCCTGGTTTCTGTTTGAGCTTTTCTTGGGGCCTCTTCTTTTTTGCATGTGTCCTAGCATGTACTTCTGCTGACTGGGTCCTTGACACTTGAGAGAATGGTCCCATGTAAAAGATAAAGATAATGTCTTTACATTGCCGTATAACAAACCAATTTAAATATTGAAAGATTTTATAAAGTTTGATATTGACATTATGTATACATTGAACTCAATAAAAAATTTAAGTGGATTTCTTGTGTTGTAATTTTTTGGGCTGGCATTTTTTCCCCTCCTGATGATAAGCAGAAGGAGGCCCGGTGGCGCAGGTCGGTGATTTGAACCTACCAACCTGCTCCACGGGAGAAAGATGTGGCTGTCTCCTTCCATAAGGATTCACAGCCTTGGAAACTCTATGGGGCAGTTCTCTCTGTCCGGTAGGGTTGCTATGAGTCAGAATCGACTCAGTGGCAGTGGGTTTGGTTTTGGTTTGGATAATAAGCAGATTTAAGCACCAAAATTTCTCGTATGAAGAATTGTTGGGGACTAGTTTTTTTCTGCCTTTTACAATTTCTTACATATTTTATTACTTAAGTAAGCAAAATATCGGAAGGAAACAAGATACAAACTTTTGTTTCAAACTGTTCAATTTTTTTGTTTGTTATTTTTTTCGAGGGCATTAATTAAAGGGTCAAGTTTTCACTTTCCTATTGAAAGGCTAGAGAAGGTACATTTGTTTTCAGGTATACTGGGACGGGCCGAAGCTGTCTTACTGACATCTTTGTTCTCTCCGTAGAAGAAGGATATGTAAAAATGTTTCTTCGCGGACGCCCTGTTACCATGTACATGCCCAGAGATCAAGTGGATTCTTACAGTCTGGAAGCAAAAGTAGAGCTCCCAACCAAGAGACTGAGACTGGAATGGGTGTATCCTTTCTCCTCTGATTCGCTCTCACGCCAAGCTAGCAGTTGATCCACGCTTTTGGGTTCAAGTTTAATTGTTGAAATTCAGAACACTTAAGTCCTCTTAAGTTTTTAAAAAACAAAGTCTCCTACTCTGACTTTAAAAAAAAATTAATCTAACAAAATTGGCCATGTGTTAGAATGCAGCAAAGGGGGAGCCCGCAAGAGCTACTGCTTACTGGGGGGCAGGGTGGGGGACTGGCTTATCATTCTTGAGTGAACTATTTGTGGCTCTGCTCCAATACATACACATTGTAGTTCCTGTAAAGAAGATGTTAAAATGTTACATGATTGCATAAATTATTATTTTTTATTTTTCCTTTTTGGTCAGGAAAAAATGCATCACTAGTTTCTGGCCTGAATTTGTTTTTCCATTGGTTTAAGTTTAGTTAAACCCTTACTGAGAAGCAAGCTTAATGGAAATGATCGCAAATATGAGTTAGGATGCTAATGGAAAGGAAAGGCCTGGTTGTTTTAATTGGAAGCCATCGTGTGCTTAGTCACCTCTTCAGGGACAGGTGGAAAAGCCAAGAGCTGTACGTGTTGACAAGCAACAGCAGGGAATAGGCAAGAAAACATTAGACTGAGGAATGAGAAAATGGAAATATCAGAAATTGAAGCTAAACTGTGCTGACAGAAATGTTTTACACACAAAAAAAGGATGAAGGAATCAGAGCCACAACAGATGGACCCTGATAGAATGGGAGAAAAATGTGGAACAGAACCTCAAATTCCTTAAAACAAACAAACAAAAAAAGCAGACCTACTGGAATGGTTGAGACTAGAGGACTCCCCGAAACTATTAGCCTCGTATGCTCTTCACACATTGAACGGAAACTGGCCCCTGAGGTCACCTCGTAGCTAAATAACAGATTGGCTCAAAAAAGAAGGACTATCACCCCTAAGTACTGTACTTCTTTTAAAAATCACCTATATGAGACCAAACAGTCAACAATTACTTTAAAACAAAGATGAGAAGGTAAGGGAATCTAGATTAATGGAAATGGAGCAACCAGAATGGAAATAGTGAGAATGTTCACGCCTTGGGAAGAGTGTAACCAGTGTCACTGAACAATTTGTGTAGAAATTGTTGATTGGGAACTTAAACTGCCGTGTAAACCTTTGCCGAAAACACAATAAAATATTATTAATAAAAGAAAGAAATGATGAGGGATACCCTGAAAGAAGTATTCTAGGATGAAGAACCCCTCCTCACACCAAACAGGGACTTGGTCAGCCTGTTTAGGAACCTGACTTCAAGGCGTAAAAAACTAATCGCCATCAAGTCGATTCCAACTCATGGCGAACCCATGTGTGTCAGAGTAGAACTGTGCTCCGTAGGGTTTTCAGTGGCTGAGTTTTGAAAGAAGAGCACTAATTGCTATCAAGTTGATTCCAACTCATGGCGAACGCCTGTGTGTCAGAGTAGAACTGTGCTCCATAGGGTTTTCAGTGGCTGAGTTTTGGAAGAAGAGCACCAGACGTTTTCTTCCAGGGTGCCTCTGGGTAGACTCCAACTTCCAACCTTTCTGTTAGAAGCTGAGCGAGTTAACTCTTTGCACCATTCAGGGAGGCAGTGTAGGAATGTGAATACCCAGGGACTAAACGAAAGGACTGCAGTGAGTGCCATAAATAAAACTGACCTGTGGCACAGATAAAGTCCACTTTAATAAAGGAAAACGCTCCTCCCCAAATCTAGGCCGCATAAATCTGAGTTAACCATCTGAGAAATGCTCTTGAAATCTAGCTACAGGAGGCTTCACCTTATGAGGTTTGGAGAGGTGAATGAGCTTCCAGGGACTGAAAGATGAAAAAATCGGGCTAGTGAAAAGGGGTGAATTAAATGTTTTTTTTCCCCTAATCTTAGAGGAAGCCTGCAGAGGCCACCTTCTATCCATGCAGATTTTAAGGTAAAGAGCAAAAGTCTTTTTTTTTTTTTAAACAGCTTTATTGGCGTGCGATTGACATACAATAAACTGCACACATTTAAAGTGTACAGTTGGATGAATTTGACCTATAAATAATAACGTGTGAAGCCATCTCCACAATCAGGGTAGCGAATGTATCCATCATTTCCAGAAGTTTCCTTGTGCCCCTTTGTAATCCTTCCCTCCTGCCCACCCTGTCCCCAAGAAACTGCTGATCTCTCTGTCACTGGAGATTATTTTGCCTTTTCTGGAATCTTACAGAATAATGAAGATAGGTTCTGTTCTTCTGTTTTTTGGTCTTCTTTCATTCAGCATATTTTGAGATTTATGCGTGTTACTGCCTCAGTAGTTCATCCCTTTTTATTGCTAAGTAGGATCCATTGTATGAACATGCCACAATTTGTGTATCCGTTCACCTGTTGATGGGCTTTTGGGTTGTTTAAGAATCTGCCAAACTGTTTCTAAGGCGATTCTACTTTTATACTCCCGTCAGAAGTGTACAGGAGTTCCAGGTGCTCCACGTCCTCATCAATACTTGATGTGGTCAGTCTTTAATTTTAGCCATTCTAGTGGGTGTGTAGAGCCCTGATGGCCGAAGGTTAAGCACTTGGCTGCCAACTGAAGGTGGCAGTTTGAACCTACCCAGCAACTCCATGATAAAAGTCCTTTCTTCACCCTCAAATAAATATTTACTGAGTACCTGCCTGATGCGTAACCCTAAACACAAAGTATAAGGTGGCTTAAATTGGAGCCATTGTAATTTCAGTTAGAAGAATTACTGTTAGAGATTAGGAATCATATTCTTTGGAATTCTTCAAAAAATTATTACGTGTACCTAAATCTCTCCCCCCAAAATACATTTTTCCCCAAGATCCAGATGTCGTAAACATTTAACCATGCACCTGTTTTGGAAGCTGTTTTGGCACATGCAGTTGAAGTGATTCAGTTAAGTAAAAAATGGTTTAAATTAGTTAAATCAAATCTAGACAACATTCAAAACACATTTGTTCAGCCTATTTCCTATTCATATTTTGGAAGATGTAAAACGGTGGAATTTTCTCCAAATAAATAATATTTTTTGCATCCAAGTACAAGTGATATTTTACTCTCAAAATAGTTTTCAAGGTTTGGAAGCATACATGCCAAAATCTTAACAAGAATAATTACGGAGCTGGGAATGGTTTGAGGAAGGGAAACCTAATTTTTTACTTTTTGTATGTGTGTGTGTTGTTTATACCTTTTATGAGGGCTTTTGTAATGTTTAAAAAAAAAAAAAAGATGTTTTAAATGAAAGATTTAACTCTTAGATTACGATAAAAAATAAACTCATGATTGACTCAGTAACTAAGGTATATACAAGTCAATTACCAGTATCTTAAAATGTATTTTAAGTACTTGAAAATATAAAGAATGTCAAAGCTCAGAGTTTTTTCTTAGAATGGGATTTATAACTTAACACTGCTTAATATTCGAAACAGTATATTCCGACTCATAGCGACCCTATAGGACAGGGTAGAACTGCCCCATAGGGTTTCCAAGGAGCAGCTGGTGGATTTGAACTGCCAACCTTTTGGTTAGAGCCGAGCTCTTAACCACTGTGCCACCAGGTCTCCAATATTTGAAACAATATAGTCAGTATATCTTATGTTTTTCCAAACAAGCTACAAAAGCCACGAACTATCATAAAGAATTAATTTCCCATTCTCGATTCTAGAACTAGGCTCCATCACTCTCATTAAACCACAGAGTAATGCTAATTACAGTTTCCAAGTTGTAGATTGTATCTCAATGGGGCGGTAACGTGGAGAGTTGAAAGATGACACACTCAGTTAGCTCTGTTGCTCCCTTCAATTCTAGTTCAGAGCCACACCCTGACCTCTCTTTTAAGACCAGAGATTCAAGAGGGAGAATAAATGCAGAGTTGTGATAGTTAAGCAGATCTGAGCAAGTAGTATGATAACTAGAGAGAAATGTGACCAAAAAAAAAAAAAAAAAAGCAGAAGGGAAAGAAAGAAAAAATTTTTTTTGAGCAGAATATTGCAGCATTCTTGTGAAATAAGTTTCCAACCACAAGCTCTAGTGATTTTAACCTTAGGGTCAGGATGGTACTGTTCAGCACAGTGTTATCGTGGGAGTCAGCCTTTCAAAAGACCAGCTGGGGAATATTTTAATGGCAGGCAGGGTGTGAGGAAGACAAGTACTCAATCCAAACAGCTCAACAAAAACTGTGGTCCCTAGCTGTTGCTTCCCAGATCCCTGACTGATTGGCTAAATTGAAAAGCATTCACCTTCCAGGAACTTCTCGAATGTCTCATCCAGTTACCTTTAGTAAATAAAATAATAAATGATTATCATTTTCAATCAAGCTGAAAAAATTCATATTTCAGAATATAAGACATACTTTCTAAAAATAAAGCTACATTTTTGGATTGTTAAAAATACACATTCACATTAAGCCCATGACTTACCGGACTTACCAGCTTTATTGCATGCCTGTTAGGGGTCAGATGTATCTGGCACTATTTGTAACTTGATGTTACTTAAATTAGGGAAATTGACGGTAATAGTCATATAGAATTTTATTGCCTGTGCCTGTTGAATAAAGCTGATGTGCTCTCAACCCTTAAAGAGACTATTTTGTCTTGACGCACCCAAAGCTATGGGTACAGGGGTCGAGACTGTCGGAACAACCTGTACTTGCTTCCGACGGGCGAGACTGTGTATTTCATCGCGTCGGTGGTTGTGCTGTACAACGCGGAGGAACAGCTTCAGAGGCATTACGCTGGTCACAACGATGATGTCAAGTGGTAAGTCCTCCAAAAAGGCGCTCCGTGGTCACAGGTGGAAATAGTATTCGCAGAAAGAGGTCAGTATTGGGATATTACTAAAGAGAAGACAAGGAGGCTGAGAAAATGCGATCTGTGGGGAAATCTGTTTTTCTGTGGTGTTTACTAGTTACCCGGCTAGTTGCTGTCGAGTCAGTCCCCACTCATGGCGACCCCATGTGTGTTCGAGTAGAACTGCTCAGTAGGGTTTTCATGGCTGAGACCTTTGGAAACAGATCGCCAGGCCTTTCTTCCAGGATGACTCTGAGTGAGTTTGAACCGCCAACCTTCCAGCACTTAACTGTCTGGACCATGCAGGGACTCCTAGCTGGTAGACAGCATGTGGCTACTAGACAACAAACGTGGTTAAGACAACTTCTCCTTTTTCTGTCTTCACAACACGTGATCTTCATCGATCATGTCACCTCAACAGATAGCTCCAGTAGACTTGTTTGGAGGCCTCTGTAACAACACATCACATGCTAAAGGCTTCTAATTTAGGTGTTTATTTTTTGAATAAAAATGTTTTGCCTTGTGTTCGTGGCTGGTCTGCTGTTCCCGTAATTCATTTACAGCTTTTCATAGGGATTGACTATCTTGGAAGGATGGGTAGATGAATAGACGGGTTTATGTATTTATATCTGTCCTAGATCCCTGGTCAATTACAGAAATCCTGTTGGCAAAAGTTTATTATGTCCTTAATATCTGCTGTTTGCAAAATGCCTTGTTGACACAGGTGGTAGGCTAATTAAGTGGTTCTGAGATCGAGATGTTTTCTCTGCAAAGGATGCTTTTTCCTGGAATTTCCAAATTCTTGAGAAGAAATTATGATTAAATGAAAGATCCCCCAGTTGTCTCAAGTCATTGGGGTGGGGGGGCGGGGGTGCTAAGAGACTTTATTCTGAATCTGTAAGAAGTTCTGTATTCTATTTAAATGTGTGACTAGATTATATTTGATCAAGGGGAAAGGAAAGCTTACCTTTAAAGTAGAGTTTGTTTTTTTTTTTAATAAATCTCCTGTTTTTAGCCTAGCAGTTCATCCCGATAGGATCACAATAGCAACAGGACAAGTTGCAGGTACTTCTAAGGATGGAAAAGTGAGTTCTGTTATTTTTTCGTATTTTCATCATGAACTGGTAGCACAAAATAAGTTTCTGAAAACATTATATTGCTGATTAATAAGCCTGCTTACATATACAGTATCTGAATCCTGCCTAATCCCTCATTAGATTTTTTTATTGAAAATTAAAAACTCCTACAGTGATCTTCGAAACCACTTGAGCTCACATTAATTTCAACAAAATATTACACAGCATTGTTCTTGCCTAAGGATTCACTGTCTTCAAATATGCAAATATGTAAATAATAAACTTTAAAATAGCAAGGTCCACATTTAAATAAGTATCTAAATATGAGACATTGTGCCTCTTCAACGGGTTTCAAATGCTGTCTGCCATGAATGCTGTCACATGACTTCAGCCCGTGGAGTTTGTGTCTGTGGCAAATCCAAAGGCTGCTGGGAGGTTCTCAGCCCAAATTCTGTAAGCACTTCGCAAGACTTCAGTTTGTACTTTAAAGAATCAGAGAGGGAACTAGTGGACATTAACTGATAAATTAATCCAGGAACAACTAAAAACTGCTTTCCAATCACTTATTTCCCACCAAACCCAGCAAAACTAAACCCATTGCCGTTGAGTCGATTCCAACCGATAGCAGCCTTGTAGGACAGACTAGAACTGCCCCGTAGGGTTTCCTAGGCTGTAATCTTAATGGGGCAGATCAGCAGTACGTTACATTTCATACTTAAATTTTGTGTCAACCTAATATTTTCTTTTAAGAAAGTATGGAGGCTATCGTATTGAAGACAATATTTTAATAACATTAGATTTTAAATATTTTATGCTATTTTTCATTAAAATTCTACACTTGAAAAGAGTAACAGGAACAAAGGAAATCAGACTACTGTTATGTAAATACACATAAATGGAACAGAGTCTTCATCTTTTTTTTAATGTCAAATGGCCTGAGGAAGTTCTTTGAGTTACATATGTGTATCTGTTTACCACAATTTAAAAAAAAAAAAGACTGAAAAAAAAAAAAACTTTAAGATAAATCATTTGTTCGCCCTCTAGTGGCTTAAAAGTGTATTTCACGTTCTGGCTTTGACCTTGAATCAGAACTGTAGGGCATGGAAGATGTTATAGCTATCGAGCTAATCTGGCTACTTAGCAACTAGTCCAGACTGGGGCGCAGCTCACCTGACCTGGTCTGCCCACCAAGGACAGCATTGTTTAAAATCTGTTGATAAATCTTCTGATTGCTTTATGATGCTTTTTTGTATTAGGGATTGAATAATTAAAATTTAAAGTAACATAGAAAAATTAATATAAGCAACCTAGGGCTACAGTTGAGAGGGTTTTGAACTAACCATAACAATTCTCAATTTTATTTGTACGTATTTGATTGTCTTGTTTGCTTTTACAGGGCCCAAGAACATTAAGCTCTTAATACAATTTGGTGGTGACAGTCTCAATGTCCTTGCTGTATGCTTACACTTAGCAACAATATAAACTTTAAGAGAATGACCCTTGTATGAGATTCCGTGTTTCTTGTCATTTTTCATTTGGATGTATCTAGATGTACAAATTAGAATATCAATACAGTTGTCAGGAATTGGCTATTCTAAATGTAAAACTTGGTAGAATTCTCCTACAGTCAAATTGGCCACATGTGGCCATGACCTCATGAAGCCATTAGGAACGTTTTATTTATCTCAAAAGGCAGGCTCCTCAAATGCAGAAAAAGCCTTTTTTTTTTTTTTTTTTTTTTTTGGCAAAATTGAAATTACTGCTGAGGTAATCTTTTTAGCTTCAAGGTAAACATAAATTTGTATAACTGTCACAATCAATGACTGGGTTTTTTTAAAAAACAGCAATTACCCCCTCATGTACGCATCTGGGATTCTGTGACGTTGAATACACTGCATGTTATCGGAACCGGGTTTTTTGATCGAGCGGTCACCTGTATCGCATTCTCAAAATCTGTAAGTGTGAGCCCTGTGGGTATTGCAGTTTCTGTCCGTAGGGAGAGAGACTCAAGTCAGGGTGGGAGAGGGAGAGAGCTCACCCACTCAGTAACTGCCCAGGTGTGCGTGCAGATTGGAATTCTGGGAGGTTCTGCTCCCCAGCCCCCCGTTGAGAGGTCACACATTCCCCTGGGGTCACACACTCCAAATCAGTGTCACCATCCGCTGCCAGCAGGGGGCCGGGTGATGGAGACAGGTCCTGCCCGGCCATTATCCTGTTCCTGAGGCAGTTTTGCTTGTTCTGGCCTTGACTTTCACCGTGCTCCCTTCACCTAGCGGCCCCCGCGGGTCTCCATGTCCCCAGCCCGGCTAGCTCACTGCCAGCTGCGAGCAGGGATTGCGCAGGGGCCTAGGCTCCTCTGTGCTCCCCCAGGATGTGCCGGCCCCACAGATTCGCCCTTGTGCTTCTCCAGCCGTTCTGAATCTTACGGTCACACACGTGTGCCTGTTCATGTACAAGATGCCCACGAGCGTCCGTGCTCCGGTGCGTTTGCACCTTCTGCCGTCTGCAGGTTTCCCTGGGTCACGGGCTGACAGACCCTGTACCATGCATGCTGCAGGCCACTGTCTCCTGGGGAGGGGCTCACAGCCCCCTCTGAGGCCAGTTTAAGGGAACCTGGTGGTGAGGAGCGACCCTTTAACGCCTCTGTCCCCTGTCCTGCCCCTTCACCCACACCCCCCCGCTCACCTGCTCTCCCTGTCTGGACAAGTAAGCAGGTTTCAGAGGCAGTGGGTGAATATTCTTTAACCAAAATGTAGAGGCTCTTTATTAAAAGCAAAATTAATGTTCGTTTTTAGTCACGTTCAACCCATTTTATTCTCAAAGGTAGTCTCCCTGTGAATACCTTTCTTTTCCAGAATGGAGGAAGCAACCTGTGTGCCGTGGACGACTCCAACGACCACGTGCTGTCCGTGTGGGACTGGCAGAAGGAGGAGAGGCTGGCTGACGTGAAGGTCTCACCCACGCCTCACGCTGGGCAACGTTACCTGCTCCTGTTGGAGCCCCTCTAGCTCCCCCTCCCCCCCCGGCTGGCCCTGGCCCCCTTTCCTGTTTCTCTTGACGGGCTGCCTGCCCCCCGCCGCAGCCCTCAGACGCGCCCCTGCCCCCTCCCCTCACGGGCCTCCATTCCCCAGTCCTGTCATGTGGTCTCACAACGTCTGGAAGGTTTTTTCCTTCCTCACTTTACGGCCACTACCTTTTTAATTCGTTTATGTATTCGTTTATTCTTTCACTCATTCATTCCACAAATCCGGCTGTCCACTGTGCGCTAGGACTGTGCAGGGAGGCGCTGGGTGCTATGACAGGCAAGATGTGCTCGCTGTCCCCAAGGTTGCCTGACTGGTGGAGGGGACACATAAGGGAGTGGGTGCCCCCAGCCTGAGGGCAGAGGTAAAGATCGGTGCCTCCAGCGAGGGGGTGCCCAAAGCTAAGTGGACTCAGAAAAGACCAGCAAGCGCACTGGTCAGTCTCAAGTCCCCCAAAGGACTTGTCCTGCAGCAAGCCCCTTTTGGACTTATCTGGGCCACGCCTAGTCCGCTTTGCATGATAGGATACGTCAAGTTAACGTTCCTTCAACGCTCTTCTGTTTCCCTCCTGTTAAATCCCACATTGGATCCTATTACTATAGACTTGACCTCAGATTTCCTGTCCTGGCAACCACTGGCCTTGGGGAACCCGCTCATCTAACATTAGAATTAACGTTAGAAAACCTCCCTCTTTGAGTTTCTCTTGTCTCTCAGATGTAGACCTTGTGTTCTAGTCAGGCGATTTTCATACATGTTTTCATGCTATAAAACCCCAAACCAAACAAACCTGTTGCCGTGGCGTCGATTCAGACTCACAGCGACCCCATGTGAAAGAGTAGATCTGCCCCGTAGGGTTTCCTAGGCTGTGATCTTAATGGGAGCAGATCGCCAGGTCTTTTCTCCCACGGAGCCGGCTGATGGGTTCAAACTGCTGACCTTTCAGTTAGCAGCCGAGTGCTTAACCACTGCACCACCAGGACTCCTTTTCTTGCTATTATTGTTGTTAGGTGCTGTCAAATTGATTCTGACTCGTAGCGACCCTATAGGACAGAGTAGAACTGCCCCGTAGGGTTTCCAAGGAGTGGTTCGTGGATTCAAACTGCTGGCCTTTTGGTTAGTAGGCAAGTTCTTAACCACTGCGCCACCAGGGCTCAGCCTTACCTTATGACATTCTGGTCAGGTAGCTAAGTTCTTCTTGCTCCAATGCCGGGGTAGAATTAATCAGAGGCTGGTTATTGTTGAGGTTCAAGAATGCATAATTGAATTACCAACCAGGAGGAACAGTCAGGGTCGCATTTTCAGACCAGATGCGAGTCCTGGAAATCAAGATTGGAGGTGATAGTGAGGTGGGACCAAGAGCCGGAGCCATAACACTGGACCCAGGTGTGGCCCCCAAACCGCTGGCAGAGCCCAGGGGTCAGAGCCACGAGGGCCTCCCAGGGAAACAGTGCTGCCAAAGTCGGTGGGAAGAGTGGGGCTATAAAATCCAGATTCCAGGGCCCTTCCCTGGAGATTTCAATCCACTAGATGGGGAGTGAGGCCTAGAGGTCTGCATTTTAACTCACATCTGGTGATTCTCTGGTTCTGCCAGGGTTGGGCGGCCCTGACTGAAGGGTCTTAAATCCCTAGCTACTCTGAGTTCACTCTTTCCAAGAAAGGATTCCACTGGCTGCTCTGAGCCAGCTCCTGACCTCAGCCCTGGCACACAGAGAGGACCCAGGCGCAGCCCTGTCCTCGGGGCACATAGTCCAGTGTGTACATGTACATTATGTACAGTGGCAGGATACAAGGAGCCAGAGCAGAACGCCAGGGTCCTTTTGCACAGAACAGATGGGATGAGGGAGGCCCTGGGAGGCTTCCTCAGGGTAACTCGGGGGGATTCATACAGGGCCAGTCAGATTGGAGGGCAGGGCCCTCAGCCCAGTGGAAACGTGTACGGAGGCGTGCAGGGTGACGTGGCAGCTCCTCATCTCTACCTGGTGCTGACTTGCAGGTTAACTGCCACCTGCCCAACTCTCCTACCTGGTGCAGATGCTCAGCCTGGCTCTGTCCCTCCCGAACTGCTGTGTTGTCATCCTCCCTCCCTCCACCCCCGCTTCTGGCCGCGGATAAATGTGCTCACTCCTTGGTCTGCAAACCTTTGTTGAGAAAGTCTCAGGGCAGGGGCTGCGGTAGACTCCAGAGACCCAGACGTGGCTCAGATGTGGCACCTGCTTTCAAGCGGGAGACAGCGTGTACTGCAGCGGCCACAAGTCAGCGAGGGCAGTGTTAGGACAGCACACGGTGCACTATGAGCATGGGAGGGTCAGGAGGGTGTCCTGGGGGAACCGAGCCTGAAAGGATGAGCCAGCCTGAAAGGAGGCTGAGGAGAAGGACGGGCCATGTGACAGGCGTGGAGGCTGGGGCAGCAGGCATGCGCGTGGCCGACAAGCAGCTCCGTGGGGCTGGAGTGTAAGGAGGCTGAAGAGCAGACAGGACAGGGCCCTGGGAGGCTTCTGTGCCTCACTGTGGCACTTTGATTTTATAGAGACCGTGGTGCAGAGCCACCAAAGACTTAAACCATGGAAGTGTGTGTTCAGATTTTCATTTGGGCAAATCTCACTGGGTTCCATGTGGAAAACGTACTAGAGGGAGAAGAATGGAAGAAATGAGTCTCATTAGGAGATTGTCGTAGTCATCCGTGGGCGAGTGGTGAGGCGTGAGTCCAGAAATACTGAAGAGGTGAGATGGACAGGACTTGGTGCGAACTTGGCTGTGCGTGGAGAGAGAGATTGTTGTTGTTAGTTGTTGACAAGTCGATTCCGACTCATGGCAACCCCATGTGTACAGAGTAGAGCTCCTCCATAGGGGTTTCAAGGCTGTGACCTTACAGAAGCAGATCACCAGGCCTGTCTTCCAAGGCTCCTCTGGGTGGATTTGAACCACCAGCCTTCCTGCTAGTAGTCAAGGGTTTAACTGGTTGCACCATCAGGGCTCCCTGGAGAGACAACAGAGGGATCGAAGGTGGCTTCCAGGCTTCTAGCCTGGGAGGGGGTGAACCGTGGAAAGACAGTGGGAGGAGGCACAGCTGGAGGAGCGGGATCCAGTTCTGTACATGTTTAAGGCGCCCGGGGGACCTGTAAGTAGAAATGCCTCATAGGCAGTGGCTTTATGAGCCTGGTGGTTATTGGGATGTGTGGGCTGGGAGAAGGAGGTGGGAGTTGACGGCATATGCAGCTGGGGGTAAGGGACCCACAGGGTTCAGATCATCAAGGAAAGCTCAGAGAGGCAGGATGGGGGGCCAAAGACAGACCCAGCCACAGAGGCCATGAGAAGAAGGAGAAAGAATGCTGAACGGACAGAGGAAACCCAAGAGAGTTGGGTGACTTGGCAGCAAGGGGAGAAAGGGTTTTTCACAGTGACATCAGACGCAGCAGGGCGGTTCCGTGAGACAGCGCCTGGAAAGTGTGGCCGCTCGCGTGGCGATGTTAGTGACGGAGGGACGAGTGTTTTCTCTGGTGTGCTGGGACAGACAGCAGTGAGGTGAGACGTGAGTTAGAGGTGAAGATGGCCCGTGAAGACCGCTCTTGGTAGAAGTGGCATGAGATGAGAAGATGGGACAGTGAGTAGCTGTAGGGCAGTGCAGTGCCCAGGAGTCTTCTGTAATGAGAAAGGCTTGTGTAAGGGCTGAGACGGAGGAGCTGGGAAGGAGCATTGCCGATCCCAGTGAGGAGAGGACCCTGGAGCCTGGCAGGAGGTGGGACATCATGGCTGGTCCCAGCAGAGCCCTGCACCTGAGCTCAGGTGGCCTCCGCAAGGCACCCCGGCAGTGGGTGGTACAGCAGAGCACTTGCTGAGTCTTCCAGTAAATCTCTTCGACTCAGTATCTCTGTCTCCAGGCTACCCAGGGCGGGAACCCAGCCTCTTGGTCCCGTGGGCCCTCCCAGTGTCTGCCAGGGAGCCGGACTTCAGGAACTACTTAGCTTGTCGTCTTTGTTGACCTAACTCTGTTTCTGAATTAACCAGCTCGATTTTTATTTCCCTAACTACTGCTGGTTTTGCTCAGTTAGTAATTTATCACTTCTAAGGGGCAGCAGAGGAAAAAGGTTGACACTTTGACTAGAAATTTTAGGATTTTGTTATTAGCTATACAGGTAATTCTTAGGTTTTTTTCCCAGCTTAGAAAACAACTGCTCTTTGTATTTTTAAGTGAACGGAAGCATTGCTGTGTTGTGATATGGTATCACTATAATAGAGAAGTATAAACATTTTCTGTAGGACTTACATGAAATTTTCTGAATGTACATTGGTTTGCACAGAATCTAAACACCACGAAAATCCTTCACCAGGTAGCAGCCCTCCCCTCTGCCTCCATGAGTGATAAATAGGGAGAAAAAAACAACCAAAATGCTTAAACTATCTCAGTTCATTAACATAAATGCTTGCTTTCCGTTATTAAAACAAAGATTTCTAATTTAGAAATGCTTACCACCGGAAAGAAAAATAAAAGCCTCCGGGTTCTTCAGCTGTGCCCTAGATAAACTTGTGATTTACAGTCAGTTGTATTTGAAAATAGTTTCACACTTCAGTTTCATCTACAGTGACCCTAAAAATAGCTTCAATGCATTTAAAATGTTAAGTAATATATATTGTTTTCTGCATTTTCACTAGCGACGATTGATGTCTTTGCCTTGAAAATATTTTACCTTTCCATTATGATTTCTTTTCTGCCAAGAATTAGTCCTCTTACAGTATGTGTCATGCGAGTGTGTTACTCAGCGTCAGAATGCTCGGTGCTGTCCCTGCTACTCGGTCGGCACAAAGTAAACTAAGACTAACACAGCAAGATGAATTCAATATGGGAAAAATCAGAAGACACACTGCTGGACTTGGATAAGTTATCTGTTTGTGGCTCAGATTTGATTTATTTTCTTAGCTGTCGTAAGTGACTTGGGGCATTTGGTTCTGCTGTTCTTACAGTGTTCTAACGAAGCTGTGTTTGCTGCCGATTTCCACCCCACGGACACCAATATCATAGTTACCTGTGGAAAATCTCATCTCTACTTCTGGACACTAGAAGGAAGCTCCCTTATTAAGAAGCAAGGATTATTCGAGGTAAAGTTAAATTACATTTTTTTGTTTTATTTCTCACTGGGTGGTACATGGAACCAGCTAGGTTTTAAGGGAGTTTGAGGCATCCCGGTCTTAAACATTGTTTTAATTGATAAATATGGGGTACATCTGGGGGGTGTAGTGATGAAGACTCTTCCCTGGGATCCTGACATGGTTGGGGAGCCCCTGTGTCTTGTGGGTATCACTGGTGATGCCGAGGAAAGGATGGGCCAGCCAGGGGAGAAGGGCAGAGGGGTGGCAGCCCGGGCAGGCAGTGTCTCAGCCATGGTGTGGCTGCTCACAAGCAGCACGCAGACCAGGGCGCTCAGGAAAACAGACATCACACCCTGTCTTTGCAAACGATGACAGACATCTTTGTGCCTTTTGTCTGGCTGTTAGGGGGCCTTATGAGAATGGGACACCAGGGGACAGCACCTCTTCCTGCCTGCTGGGGCCGTTGCCACCACCACCCAGAGGCTAATTTAGAGGGTCCCTCATTGTGGTGCTAGGGTTCTGTTCTTCAGGCAGCAGCCATGCCGACACAGCCTTAATCCTCTTCAGCACCCTCTTTGGCTTCAGTTATCTGCTACTTACAATCACCCAAACGCTTGGAGTTGCCAGAAATTTCTTTATTTTAGAACAAATAATCTCATGGCATAAATTACATAATGGTAAATAAAAACAAAAGGCACACGGTGTGGTTACAGAAGCCGACACCGTGCAGCTGGAGTTCCTGTGGTTCTAGATACTATTACTACAAATAAAAGGATGCCTTGATTAAATATAGGTATTTATAACATTCTGCAGAAACAAGAAAAGCCAAAGTTTGTCCTCTGTGTGACTTTCTCTGAAAATGGTGACACCATTACTGGAGATTCGAGCGGCAACATCTTAGTCTGGGGAAAAGGTAACAAGTGACTGTTCCCAGAGCAAACGTTTGGTAATGTTGTAAGTGAGAGGTCAGATGTAACGTCTGTAAGAACTGTCCATTAATGTAACTTACAGGATGGCTGTTAAATTCTGAGTTACATAGGTGCAGACATAGGAGTGTGAGCACGCGTGTGCGTATCATTTGAAATCACAAAACTAGAACGTGAAGAAACGAGGATAGCAAGAGTTACTGACCTTATATCACTTTAAAAGGCTTTCTAAACCCAAGATATTGTGATGGGATTAATCACTTCATTAGGAGATCTCTTAAAAATTATAATGATGAAATTGTCAATAACTATTTATACAGCTATAAAATATTGGAATAATTTTTCTGATTCACACGTTCAGCAGACATTAATTAAGTGCTAATTGTATACACAGCAGTGATTTTGCCGTAATTGAAGAGATTGCTAATATATTTTTATGTTCTAACAACGCTGTTATCTATGTATCATTATATTGTTTTATATATATAATTACCATTTCTATATCCTAAATTATAACGTAATAAATTTATTATACGATACAGATATTGCTTCTTAAATCTGTAACAGTTTTCAAAGCATTTTTTTCCCCTGATAATCTTATTTGATCGTAATAACAGCCCCTGTGGATTAAGCAGATTAGATACTATCATACCTGGTTTAAATTGAATCTGAGACAGTTTAAATAATTTGTGGAGTATAGCATAGCTAGGAAGAAGGGAGGGAAGGAAAGTAACTTTTATAGTCTCCCTACTACTTTTGGGGCCAGGTTTTTTGTACATTGTTGTGTTTAATACCTAAACAATCCCGTGGGGTAGGCAGTAACCCCACTCCACAACGGTGGAAACTGAGATACAGAGCAGTAACTTGTCCAAAGGCACACAGCTCGTAAGGGTTGTCGTTGGGTGCCATCAGTCCATTCGGACTCATAGTGACCCATGTGACAGAGTAGAACTGCCCCCTAGGGTTTCCTAGGCTATAATTTTTACAGGAGCAGATCGCCAGGTCTTTTCCCCTGAGGAACCACTGGGTGGGTCTGAACCACCAACCTTTCAGTTGGCAGCCCAGCGCTTTAACCACCACACCACCAGGGCTCCTTAAGGGCTGTAGAGCTGGAATTTAAATTCAGAGTCCGTATCCTTAGCCACACTGTGCTCCCTCTAACCATACTACCTCTTGTGTGAGTATGTTTTCCATCATTATAAAGTGATCTAGTTCCTGCTTGTCTGGTGCTCTGAACTTTTAGAAATTGGGCTTTTTATTTATTCATATTACAGTGATGTTATAACTGACAATGTCACATTTTAAAACAAAAGTGAAATGAGATTTGAAAAGGGCGGCCGTGAGCCCTCTGATAGTGTACTAATGATGGTTTTCTTGGTGTATTTAGGTACAAATCGAATAAGCTATGCAGTTCAAGGGGCCCACGAGGGTGGTATTTTTGCACTTTGTATGTTAAGGGATGGTACGCTGGTGTCAGGAGGAGGGAAGGACCGAAAACTCATTTCTTGGAATGGAAACTATCAAAAACACCATAAGACTGAGGTAAGACAGCAGGCAGTGCTGTTCGAATTCGTTCTGAACGTTGAACTGTCACACTGACCAGTTTCTTTGTTAATATGAAATATTTTGCTTACAGTGTTCAAAATTGTTTAGAAAAATTTTATTAAATGGGGGCAACATGTATTTTAAAATCATGGAGGTCTTGGCAGTTTAAGTACAACTACTAAAATGGAATTGTTATTGTCGTTGTGTGCTGTCAAGTCAAATCTGACTCATAGCAACCCTGTATGACATAGTAGAACTGCCCCATAGGGTTTCCTAGGTTGTGAATCTTTACGGAAGCAGATAGCCAGGTCTTTTCTCCCGCGGAGCTGCTAATGGCTTGAACTGCCTGTCTTTCAGTTAGCAGCTGAGCTGCTTAACCATTGCCAGGACTCTTTAAAATGGAATTAGGTTTATTAAAGATAAGGCTGCAACATACTTCATATTTAGAATATTTTTATAATAGAACCAATCTCAGTTTTCCAGGGGAGGATTATCCACACTTTGCTTGATCATTATGGTCGTCTTAATTCTCAGCGTGTTGCCTTAGAGACATTGTCACCGTGGTTGTGCAGGCCTCTCAGTGCCGAGTGCCGACCCCTTCTCTAGAGCCCTAGCGGCTTTTGGTATCTACTTCACCTCCTTGCTACATCATCAGTGGCCCTGCATGCCAGTAGGAGCCAGAAGCAAGAAATTTAATATCCCTTCTACCAAAACCAAGCCAAGCCTGGTTGCCATCGAGTAGATGGTGACCTCACATGTACAGAGTAGAAATGTGCTCCGTAGCGTTTTCAAGGCTGTGCCTTTCGGAAGCAGATCACTAGGCCTTTCTTCTGAGGCACTCTGGGTAGCCTCAAACTGCCAACCTTCTGGTTTGTAGTTGAATGCTTGACCATTAACCCCACCCAGGGACTTACTCCTTCTACAGACGCACTGACTAATCTGTCTTGTGAGCAGACAGATTGCGAGGCCAGCATCAGCCTGATGGGTGGTGCTCTTCATCCTCAGCACAGAACGGACATGTGGTAGAACGTTCCCACCTTCTGCGTCAGACACACACAGCCAGTTACGCCGAAGAGCAGCGTGGCGGGGTGTTGTGGCAGTGCATGAATTTGGTTTTGCTGATCATTGCTCTGAACAAAGGCAGGCCTTCAGAAGATTCTGGCAGCGTTTGATTGAGCCCATTGTGAATTGCTAGAATCATAGACCTACCCATGTTGAATTAACCCGTTGCCGTCGAGTCGATTCCAACTCATAGCGATCCTATAGGACAGAGCAGAACTGCCCCACGGGGTTTCCAAGGATCGGCTAGTGGATTCGAACTGCCAACCTTTTGGTTAGCAGCCAAGCTCTTAACCACTGCGCCACCATAACCGCAGAAAAAGCTGCAGGGCCTCATCTGGTTTCCTCCAGGTTATTTACCATTGCTTTGTTTTCTGTGATTCCTCTTCGTTAATGTGGATTTTCCTGAACTTTTCTCAAATCTTGCTTACACGGCACCCTGGGGACAGAGGACGTGTGTGAGAACAGGCTGCTCTCCTCCTGGAGCTCAGTGCCTGATCCCCGGGGCCCAGCTGCGGCTCTTGTGCTTTTTACAGTGCAGGAGCCCTGTGTCTTCCCAGAGCCAATTGTTCTTGCCTCAGGCATCTGGAAATTCTTTAACTTAATTTTTAGGTTATTACGTATGTTTACCGACATGAACAATGGATTTTAAAACTCAGTGGGTGAATTGCCAAAGAATTTACCATTTTAAGTTACGATAAATTTTTAGGAACTTTTTTTTTATGGCTGCGTTATGTTGTTCTTTACTTTCCACATTTTATCTGCTACTGCTGTCAAAAGTCATAACAAGTTAAGAGGAAACTAAGTGGTAGTATTCCTTATTTGTTTGTTTTGTCAAGAAAAATGCTTTGTTCTGTTTTTAACAACCTCACTCTGGCCGATGCTTTTAAGATACACAGAATGCTTGGAGTTTAAGGTTTGGACTTTCAATCGTTCACTCAGGTATGAGTGATTCTTTGATAGGAACTGTCATCGTGATACATAAACAAGTATTTTGAATGACTGAGTTGTGAGAAGTAATGAGATTCCAAACGTTTTATTTTCATGACTCTTGTTGATGCAGATTCCCGAACAGTTCGGTCCGATACGGACAGTGGCCGAGGGGAAAGGGGATGTGATCTTGATCGGCACAACTAGGAATTTTGTTCTCCAGGGCACCCTAACCGGGGACTTCACACCCATTACTCAGGTATGTTCCGGGAGGCTATGATAACCGTTCTTAACTTCCAAATCCCATCTGCTGCGTAAGTTGAGGAGAAAGAGACTGATAAGAGCAATGATAAAGTGTGCTGGAGCCACCTCCTTTCATCCTTCAGGACTTCTGGCTGTGGATTGCAGAGTTTCCGAGAGCTTCTGTTTGTCTTGGTTCTCTGCAGGGTCACACCGATGAACTCTGGGGACTGGCCATCCATGCCTCCAAGCCTCAGTTCTTGACCTGTGGGCACGACAGGCATGCCACCCTCTGGGATGCTGTTGGCCACCGGCCCCTCTGGGACAAAGTCATTGAGGTAGACACACACTTTACATTTCCATTTTTCCTTTCAAATTTCATGTGGAACCTATTTGTTTAATTTTTGTGTGAAATTGGTAGTAGTATGAAATTATCCCAAAGCAGATGTTGTTTATTTTGTCTCTTTAGAATTTCCTTGCTTTTAACAGTTGCTCCTTCGTGCAGTTCTTCAGTTTACTGTTGAGGTTGGTAGCGAGTTAGCCTCTCCAAGTCAGTTGTCAGGTTTCGTGAGTGCACAGAGTCTCTAAATTGCCTGAGATGCACAGAGACACTTGTTATACCCTTATGTTCTAGTCACGGCATACTTTCTGATGGGAACTTAGGGGGCTGTACTGAAAATACACAACTTAGTTGGTCTCTGCAACGTCTGAGTTGGACGGTAAAGGGCTTCAGTTTTAAACTCAGCGTCTCTGTGAACTTTGCAGAAGGAATTCAGACGCCCCTTGCGTGTCAGAGGACTGAAACGTCCTCTTGCTACATACAGTGCAGTGCATTTTGGAGCGCAGTCTGCACGCCACGCACTTTACATGTGTCATCCTTCAGCCTGGCAAGTTCAAGTGGTTCGGTTTTGTTTTGCTTCTTTAACACTGATTTTACTGATTAGGAAGTTGAGACTTACAAAAAAAAAAACACCGAACCCATTGCCACCGAGTCAGTTCTGACTCCTAGCACCCTGTAGGACAGAGTAGAACTGCCCCATAGGTTTCCAAGGCTGTGATCTTTACAGAAGCAGACTGCCACGTCTTTCTCCCGCAGAGCCGCTGGTAGATTTGAACTGCCGACCTTTAGGTTAGCAGCTGAGCGCTTAACCACTGTGCCACCAGGGCTCCTCATTGAGACTTAGAGAAGTTAAGTAACTTGCCCAAGGTCACTACGTTGGTAAGCATCAGAGCCAGTGTTTGCACCCAGCTCTTTCTGACCCCAAACCCAGGCTCCTGCTGTGTCATCCTGAGAGTCCAAAGCACAGCTCTGTGCTGGTTTGCCATTAGTGGCATTTGGATCTCACTTAAGGGAACAGCCACTTGGTAGACCCCACACGTCATCCTTTCATTTCCCCCAAAGTTGCCAGCACTCCCCAGCGTGCAAGGTCTTTCCCTTCACTTTCAGAGGTGTGCTGCTGGGCTACAGCTCGCTGGTCACTGGGGACGTGCTGAGCTTTTGGAAGAGGGAGCAGCGTGGAGTGGCCTGAGGCAGCAGGGCGGGGCTAGAGGAAGTGGTGTTCAGCATTATACCTGCCCCCGGTGGGGGTGCGAAGGGGAACAGATAGGACTGGGGACACATGAGGGCTTCAGGCAGGGGCGATTACAACCCTGCAGGCAGCAGGGACACGGTGGTCAGAGAGGGCGGCCTTCCCGAGGTCTCTGTCGGCACAGCAGCCCTGCTGGAGGCAGTGGCAGTTCCTCGTCTCGCTGCCCCTTTACCAGGCTGTGAGCCACTCAGCCTGACACAGAGGGAGGAGCTCTGAACTGGAAGCCAGAAGGAGATGCAGTTAAGTCCCGGCTTCTGTACCTGCTGGCCACGCAGCTGTGGACAGGACACCCAGCCTCTCTGTGCCTCAGTGTCTTACCTCAAAAACACTATGAGGCTCAAATGACTTGTACATCCAAGTGCCCTGTGAACAGTAAAGCTTCACGTGCACGTGATTTTTACGTGCCTGTCAGTGGCAGCCCTGAGCTTAACTACAGCTCCCACTTTGCAAAAACATTGACGTGATATAATCAGTATCTGAAAAGTTTCTTCTGGTGTCTTACTTTTTCAGTGTATCTGGTTAGTTTCTCAATGCATCCTTTCATTTCCACGGCTACTGTCTTTTTTTCTTGGTCTTCCTATAATTAATCTCTTCTGACTTCCATCCATCCTAAATATTCCTGCCAAATGGTCTTCTACCTAAAATGGATTTAATCATGTTATTCTTTTTACTGGGAGAAGACCCATCCTCACTGTGTCCTTATTTCCTAGAGATCTTAAGTCCTCACTGTGGCGACACAGCCTTCATTACTGCTGTCGTCCATGACATTTTCCCATGACCCACTCTGCACAGCCCACACTGTCAACCCACCACCCTCTACCTGCTGTTCCTCAGCCATGGCCGGAACTCTTACTCCCACGCCTTTGATCATCTCGTTGCCCCGTTAGACCCTGCAATAGTTTTCTGGGACTGCGTAACCACGTATCACAGAGTGGGTGGCTTATAGAACAGAAGTTTATTGTCTCGTAGTTATGGAGGCTGGGCGTCAGAAATCAGGGTGTCAGCCATATGGATGTTGGCCATGTTGGTCCCTTCTGAGGCTCTGAGAGAGAAGCTGTCCCACGCCCCTTTCCCAGATCCTGGTGGCTCCACGCATTCCTTGGCTTACAGCTGCAGCATCACACAGTGTCCTTCCTCTGTTTCCCTGTCTCTTCTATTATTAGGACACCGCAAATAAGACATCATCTTCAGAGACCCTATTTCCAGTTAAGGTCACATTCACAGGTTAGAACTTCAGCATATCTTTTTGGAGGACACAATTGAATCCATGAAAGCCCCCGATCCAGAACAGTTCTGGAGTGTCCACTTCGCATCTTCACCACTGATGATTCTTCTTGGACATAAGGCCTGGGTCAAAGGCTGTCACATGAAGTCCTCACCCATCTCTCCTAGTTTCATCTGCCCCTCCCCTGCAATTCCACGGCCCTTTGTTTTGACCTCTTTTATCCATCAGCTTCCATCTTGTATCAGTTAGCAGTGAACAGGTGTGTGTACCCCACAAAAGCTAGATTGTGCCTTACTCGTCTTGGGATCCTTCTGGGGCTGCCGTAGTGTCTTGCCCCAACTGTGCACTCACCCAGTATCTGCATGATAGAATTGGGTACAGGGTCACATGTACAGACAGACCAGCCACACTAATATAAGACAAGATTATAAGTCAACACGGGGGCGTCAACTGAGAGGCTGCGATACAACCCATAGCTTGGAAGAACAACACTTACTCAATTGTCTTTCATCCAATTACTGTAGATATGAAAGGATATAAGACAAGAAGAGAAAAAATTGTGAAAGGCTAAAAATATAGTATTATAGAAACATAACATTCCTCCACGTAGAAAAAATATTTTCCTCCCTGGGGAGAAAAGAAGCTCTGTAAAATGGAGCCTCCCATCCCTGAGGGAGTAGAGCTGTGCTTGTGTGTTTATGATGCAGCCTTGTGTCTGGCCGTCAATTTACACTTCCTTTAAAATGTTTTAGGATCCAGCTCAGTCTTCTGGTTTTCATCCTTCAGGGTCTGTGGTTGCAGTTGGAACACTGACGGGAAGGTAAGCCCAGGCCAGCGGGGTCTGTTTTCAGAGCTTACAGAAAGAGGCATGTTTTATTTCTTTAATAGACATGGTTTAGCTCTCAGCTGCATCTTCTCAGCTTCTAATGACTTTACCAAGAATTAAGTCAAAACTAAAAAGTAAAACTTAACAGAAAACAGTGGTTTTCACATTTTGGACCTTTGGAAACCTGGGGAAAGTTATGGACCCTCTCCTATAAAAGTGCCCGCCACATCCCTACCACACATACACATACCCATACACACACACGCCCATATACACACCCATACACACTCATACACATACATACACACACACCCCACACACATACCCATACACACACACGCCCATATACACACCCATACACACTCATACACATACATACACACACACCCCACACACATACCCATACACACACGCCCATATACACACCCATACACACTCATACACATACATACACACACACCCCACACACACACCCATACACATACATACATACACATACACACACCCATACATACCAGTATACACCCATACATACACATACATACACACACCCATACATGCTCATACACATACACACACACCACACACCCACACACATACACACCCATACACGTACATATACACACACACACACACACACACACATCAGTTTGCCTGCAGAGAGTTCCCCAAACCCTGCTTAAAAACTCCTGATCTGGAGCTGGGGGAGGAACCCAATTTTGGAATCAAGTGAGAAAGCATTTCAAAGCTCTGAGAATTTCAAAATTTTTTTTCTGACTGCTCTTACAAAATTTTAGAAAGTGCCCATATTGGTACCTCCTATTCACATTCAGCTAACGCCAAGTCCTCGAGGCGCCAGGCAGCAGCTCTGCACTGGGATCTCAGCTGGGCTGCGGCGGCAGCCTGTCTGAGCCCTGCGTTTGAGTCTCTGTGTACATTTCTCTTTCTGTCAAACGGCGGTAATATCACCCGCCTGGCCTCCGGGATGGTGCGTGGAGACAGCTGTGGGAGGCTGGCAGGCGACGGTGGTTACTGTTAACTCTGCTTCCCAGGTGTGATTCCACCTTTATGTTGTTTATCCGAGTGCATGAACTCCCTTTGGTTTTAATTCAAACAACTTCGGTGGTGTCTTTCCCTCTCTCCTCTGTTAAAAAAATACACCACTTAGATCCTGTTGTTATGACTGTGAAAAGTACGTAGAAAGACATAAGCCATAGACAGCAATATCTTAAGAGTTGGTCACCATGTACCCGACAGAATTCTTCATGAAAATCTTTGCCCGGCAACAGGCACACACACCCCTACCTTCCTTTTAGCTCTCTTTGATACAGCTAGAGGTTCGGGCTCCATATGGAGGGCCAAAAAAAACCTAACCCATTGCCGTCGAGTCGGTTCCGACCTATAGTGACCCTGTAGGACAGGGTTTTCAAGGAGCCACTGGTGGACTCGAACTGCTGACCTTCTGGTTAGCAGCCAAGCTTTTACCCCAGTGCCACCAGGGCCCACGTGGAGGGTGAGGAGGCAGTGACTCTGGCTCAGTAGACCTGCTGATGGAATGTGTGCCCTGGAGGTTTGAAACTGCAGCAACAGGGAGCCCGCATTCCTTCTCATCCCTGAAATCATCCGGGTCCCTTCCTGCCAGCACCTGCGAGTGTAGCGAACAGGAGCATGCAGCCGTTCAGCCATTTAACCGACATGTATTGGGTGCTGTGTCCTCTGTGGAGGGTACAGAGCACTTGCATATCCGTTGCAATTTGCCTTCAGCATGGAGCCTGCAAAGTGGACCTGGATTCTTATCCCCATTTTACAGTTGAGGAAACTGAGCCCAAGCCGAAACCCATTGCCATCAAGCTGATTCCAACTCATAGCGACAGAGGTTAAATTCTCCCGTTGAAGACCATCTTCTGCTCACCTTTCTTCTGTTCTTTCAGCCCTTTCTTTCACCCTGCTGGTTGAACACCAACATTCACATACAGTCAAGGCCCTCAGCCTGCCTGTATTTGCATAGTTTGAAACATCAGCTGCCCTGGGGTTGCCCTGCCCCATGGCCCTGGGCCCATCCTGCCTGGCCCCGTGTGAGATCCCTGGGTAAGCTCTTTTAGGTGGTCCCTTTGCTGCGCCATCTGACCAAGGCCGCGGCTTTGGGCCGTCCTCTGTGCCCAGGGCTTCCCCTCCTTGTACGTGTAAGTGACAAACATGAGCACTGGGAAACCTGCCGGAGCACTGATAGCAGGAAGTTTCCAGTGGTAGCCACTATCCTCTTCCTTTTTTTTAAGAAATGCTGCATAGAGAAAATCTTCTTTGAATAAAAGTTGGGAATAAGCTGTATTAAGCAAGGGTATTTGTTAGGCACTTAGGGTTGTTTTCAGTGGTCTTCCTATTTTTGTAATGGTCCTACGTCGTTTGCTCACTAAACAACTTACCGTACTTTTTTCTCACGTTTACAACAGGTGGTTTGTGTTTGACACAGAAACAAAAGACTTGGTCACCGTTCACACGGACGGAAACGAACAGCTCTCTGTGATGCGTTACTCACCAGGTTGGAACACAGCCATTCACCGTGATTCCAAAAGAATTCCGGAACTCCGTGTAGATCCTTAAAGGGAAAAATTTCACAAGCCTTCTGAGAGTGAAATTTAGTTTATACATGCACGTAGTTGTGCAGTTGGGGGTTCTCTCCTCTTCTTTACATCACTTCTTCATGTAACTGGACTACGCTTGTGTGTCTTTCAAACAGAGTGCCATAATGAGCCCCGTGCACTCATCAGCCAGCTTCAGTGGTTACCCGCTCTTAGCCAGTCTTGTTCGTCTGTGGCCCCACCCACTGCCGCTTATTATCCTCAGGTGTCAGTCAATTCCAACTCATAGTGACCCCATGTGACAACGTAGAACTGCCTTATAGGGTTTTCGTGGCTGTAAACGTTACAGAAGCAGATTGCCAGGTCTTTCTCCCATGGAGCTGCTGGATGGGTTTGAAACACCAGCCTTTCAGTTAGCAGCCGAGCACTTTAACTGTTTGCACCACCAGTGCAGTTCCAGACATCTTATTGTTTTATCTGTAAATATTGCCATATTTAGCTCTAAATGATATTCTTTTTTTAAACAGCTTTATCAAGGTGTAATTTACACACAATTCCTCACCCCTTGTAAATGTACAATTCAGTGGTTTTTAATAAATTCATAGAGTTTTGTGCCTATCACCACAATCCAGTTTTAGAACCTTTCCATGACCCCAGAATGTCCCCTTATGCCCATTATCAGTTAATCCCCAGCCCTCCCCCAGCCCAAGACAACCATGATCTGCTCTCCGTCTCCGTAAATTACCCCTTCTGGATATTTCATCTCAGTGGACTCATACGATACGTAGTCTGCCGCACCTGGCTTCTTTCACTGAGAATAACGCTTCTGAGATGAAGCCACGTTATTGTGTGTACCAGTACTTCATCCTTTTCAGCTGCTGCATAGTGTCCGCTTTATGGATAGACTGCTTTTTGTTTACCCATTCGTCAGTGGCCATTTAGATTGTTTCTGGTTTTTAGCTAATCTGAATAATGCTGCTATGAACAGGACACATTTTTTAATAGTTTGGAATCCAAAAAAAGGTCCACACGTGATCATTGGTTGCTATTCTCCTAATGCAGAGGTGTCCTCTCTCACTCTCCCTCTTTCCCTCCCTCCCTTGCAATTAATTTGTTGGAGAAACTGGCTTCTTTCTCCTGTAGCATTTTCCACAGTCTGGCGTTGGCTGACTGCGTCTCCGTGGTGCTGTGTAGCTATCCTCCTTCTTTCCTATAAAGTGAATTTTGGATCTAGAGGCTAGATCATAGTCGGGTTCTGTGTGTGGTGTGTTCTTACAGGAAGCGCATGACGTCTGCTGGTCTCTTTTTTTGTGTGATGTTAGCAGTTGTTGATGCTCAATGCCTAGATCCGTAAGGGGTTGAAAACGATTGATACCCTGGTTTTAGCTTTTCTCCTTCGTTTATTAGATACAATACTCTAAAGAAAAACTTCCTTCCATCTGCTGTTTTGCTACCCAGTGTTAGAGTTCGTATAGGAAAGTCATGCTAAATGCTTGATTCCTTTGACTTGACTTACCAGTTTCAAGTTAGTGAGTTTATTTGCTGCCTCCTCCGACAGCGACCAGTTGGTGGTGGTGGTTTCGACGTCATCGTGGGTTTGAATATATTTGGTACGTTCCAGGAGCCCTGGTGGTGCAGTGATTAAGTGCTTGGCTGTTAACCAAAAGGTCAGCAGTTTGAACCCATCAGCTGCTCCATGGGTGAAAGATGTGGCAGTCAGCTTCTGTAGGTTACAGCCTTGGAAACCGTATGGGGCAGTTCTGCTCTGCCCTATAGAGTCGCTGTGAGTTAGAACTGACTCAGTGGCAGTAGGTTTGGTTTTTATATGTTTCATTCTATTATAGTCAAAATAGATGGAACAATTTACTTGTCTTTGGCCAACAGAAGCTACTTCAGGTTGGGTCCGGAGCCCTTTGACCTCACCTTAACCAAACCAGACCAACTGCTGCTGAGTCGATTCCGACTCATAGCGACCCTATAGGACAGAGTAGAGCTACCCCATAGTGTTTCTGAGGCTATAATCTTTACGGGAGCAGGTCACCAGGTCTTTGTCCTGCAGAGAAGCTGGTGGGTTTGAACTGCCGACCTTCAGTTAGCAGCCAAGCGCTTAACCATTGCGCCACGAGGGCTCCCTGACCTGACCTTAGTAGTCTGTAAAACTTGCCCTCTGGCATAAGTTGCTGGTGGGTCCTCTTGCCCATCACTTGCCTCAAACCTGTATCGGCCATTTCTGCGAGGTGGTGTTTTAGTCCCTGGAAATACTAGGCTAAGACTGAGCTGCCACCAATTAATTATTTTTCAGACAATTTTTCAGAATCTCCTCTTTTATAAACTGATTAGGAGTGCCATCTCTGCCTCATGGAGGGGCTGTGCTCTTGAAACGACCTCATAGAAAAAGCATCTCTTCTGGATGCTTTCCTTGTGCCTGAACAAAGTTCAAAGCTTCTTGACCTCAACAGACAACTGCCCCAGCCACCATGAGAGCCTGTTCCCCACATTGAGAAGGAGCTCGCTTGACTCAATGCCTGTTCTCCACATTGAGAAGGAGCTCGCTTGACCCAGTGCCTGTTCTCCAC